TTTCACATATTATATTTATTGTATCAATATATAACAAGTCAACTAAGACAGCTGCATTCTCTCTCTTTTCCCTTCTTTTTTAACTTCATTCCTTCTTTCCCCTTCTAGAGGTCTTATTCTTCTACTTTATTCTCTCACCAAAGATAGACCACATTCTCACGTAGTCACCTAATGCATTTCTTGATTCTTCTACACATTATCATTTATTCATATACTATTCTTCTATTTTCTTTTCTCACGGTCATAATAACTCATAAGTCACAACATACCAAAAACAAATTAAATAAAAAAAATAGAGAGGCGGTAGGAATTACAGCTGAGAGACGACAATGATGAAATCAGAAAGTGGATTCCACATAAAATCGAGAAACTTAAGTATTTTGCTTCCCGCGGTTCAAGGATGAAAACCATTACCAAACATTTCAATTTAAATGTATTTAACTAGTAAAGCTCAGTGGTTATAAAGAGAAGAAAAACACCTTTTCTTCCCATTTGTTGGGGCCAAAAACAGAGACGGCAGAGAGATCGTCGTTGGGGCTCGCAGGTAGCAGCAACAATGAGAGGGAAAGGGACAAAGGGCAGCAGGGCGACGAGGAGGGAGAACCAGGTTTGCAAAATGAATTGATATGGAAATTGAAATGGCCGATTAATTGGTATTTTGTCGCCAATTGGTAAATGACTAATTGGTAATGGATTTGAATCATTTGATAATTGGCCCAGATTTTATTTTAAAAACAAGAGGCCCAAAATTAAAACAAGAAAAAAAAAAACGAAAATGGCCCAAAGTCTAAACGGCCAAACTATTTCATCTTCTTCCTTCCACTTCTTCCACCTGGCGACCACTGCAAACTGCCACCCAATGATGGTGGAGACTGTAAAATCTGGCGAAGACAACACGAACGGCCGCCCCTCCTCGTCGGGCGATGGCTCCGCCACTAACGTTGCTAAAAAAAGTTTGACATCTTTCTTGACAGAATGTCATGTGACATTTTGTCATTGGAATTTTTTAAACGATTAACTTTTATATCAACATTTCTATCACCAATACACACGTCAACTAGAATGTCGACATTTTTTGGCAAAGTAGTTTAATTCTAGGCAGAAAAGCGAGAGGGATCGAAGTAAAAAAAAATCAAATACATGTTGGA